TTTTGTGACTTCCTGCGTTTGGACATACTGTTGCTGTAAATGTAAAGATAACAATAATTTTTTTTGTGTCTTCTGACTCTATTAGAAGCAAATATTTACTAAAACACTGACGTGGTAGCCATTTCCTTTGCCACAAACTTAGTTTAACTGTATGATGACGGTGCTAAAACACAGAAATAACACCACGAAGCCTTTAGGGCCCAACTGATATGGATTTTTTGAGGCCGATTCCAATATTTGAAAAAAATCCAGATAACTGATTAATTGGCTGATTAATTTTAAAAACATATAATTAATGAAATAGCTTCTTTTTTGGTCCCTTAACAACAACAAATGTATGAATCACAGGCAGAACATTTTACTGTTTGGTCCTTTAGTATTTGTTTAACTTTACAACAGAGAGGAATTTTCAAGAACAAAACCATGAAAACAAGAAAACATTGAACGTCTTACATGTTTTATGGGTTGTGTTTGAACAACTGCAAGCAGAATTATTCATACAGGTGATGAAAAAGGGTTTCTTTTTGCTGGAAATGACATAAACGTGACAAAGGGAGATAAGACGCCTATTACAGATGTTAGTGGTGAATTTTCTGCTCTTTTTTTCAATGTTTTTACCAAAAATGCCATATCAACAATAAACTATACCCTTTCATAGCTTTCTTTGCAAAGCCTTTAGTTGCCACCACAGCATTTAAAACTGCTGGCAATCTTTTTGTATGCCTTCACTGCCCTTTTGTCTTTAGTTCCCGCCACCAGTTTTGTTGTGATTCAGGTCTGGACTCCAACAGGTTGTTTTCTGTTAACCAGGTCTTGCTGTACATTTCAGATCATTGTCTAGTCAGCAGGTTTTATGTTCTTGTTTTTCTGCAGATGGCCTCATGATGCTGTTTACTTTTACAAGGCCAACAAGGCTTTTTTTCTTTTGCTGAACAACAACCTTAAAGCATCCCATTCCACCTCCATGCTTGAGTGTTCTTGGGGTTTAATGCTTTTCCATTCTTTCACCAAACTAAAACTACGTCCGTGTGTCCAAACAACACAAGTTTTGTTGCTTCTGACCACAAACAAGCGGCTTTCTTCTTTGTCTTGGGGAGTTTTTGCAAAGGCGATGCAAACTTTGTGTGTCTGTCTGTCTCTAATATGGTGGTATCCATGACGACAGATCTTGATCAGCGTTCCCTGGAGTATTGGGATGTTGGTACCAGAGCGGCTTAGACTCATCAGAATGGCCTTAGCGGTGATCTCTGGCTTCATCTCGACCTCATGCCATCTTGCCGGTCACTTTGGGTTCCTACCACCTCCTCTGAGGATTTTTCAGTGTGGAACTACTTGTACTTTTTCATTAAGCTTTGCTCTGTGGATCCACTGGCACTTGAAAACACCTGGATATGACTTTATAGCCTTTTTGCTTCTCGTGTGCAGCCAGAACTCTCTGGATCTTGAGAGCAAGCTGGAGAAGCTCTTTAGTTTTAGCCATGATCTGGAATTAACTAATTACTGATTCCCCATCACTGCACCAACTGTTCATTAGGACATGATATAAGCTGCATTTTCTCCAATATATGAGCGTTTTGCATGTGGCCTTTTAGTGAAAATGTAAAAAACAACTTCCAGAGAGTTAAAATTGATCATTAACATCTCGAGCACTGTGTTTTAATATCTTTTCTCATTTGTTTACGTCATTTCCAGCTAAAATGAACCTATTGATCAATTTAAAAATCCCGCTTAAATGTGCATATTGTTTGCCAAAAAGTCACATTCCCATAGAAATATGTGGTTTTCTACATCATACCTGCAGCCTGCCTTTTATTCTAAGAGTCAGTTTACAAAGAAGAAGACAAAATGTTTAAGAAGTATCTAATTAATTAGCAACACCAATACTGACAGTTTGATCTTGTTTATGATGATAATAAGGCTGCAGCTCTGTCATTCCATATTATTATATGATATCATGCTGTGATCTGGGATGCTAACAGTAAAGTGGACTTACCAGTGAGGATGACCTGTGAAGCTCCTCTGATGCCTCTAAAGAAGACTTCATGTCCACATGTATGTGTGCAGGTAGAAGTCCTTAACATGATGATGTCTTTGTCTGGCATCCCATCAAACTAAACCTCTGACTTGCTGAGGAAGCATCCTTCTGTCACTGGTTCCACGTGTTAGAAACACCTCAGAACTTCTGCTCTGCTTTGTGCGTTTTGACCCAGTCCTCGTGATTGGTTCGGTTTTGAAACTCAGTTTCACACTTGACTCTTTCTGTAAAAGCAGGTGGCTGCACTACGGAGTCACTTCCGGGCTTCCTCTGTTCAAGTCGGCTTCATAAAAGCTAAACCCCAGGTGGTTTTCAGCTTTCTTCGTCAACACCTGCTTCAAACTTGGTGCGCGTGCACGTAAAGGACGCGTTCACCGCGTCACGTGACTTCTCCGCACGAAAAGAAACGATCGCGTGCAGCTGATTCAGTTTTAACGGAGAATATAAAAAATATATGACGATTTTAAAAAAGCGCTGCAAGACAGGAATGCTGCTAGAAAACTGTTAAACGGACGTTAATATATTTATTTCACCGATAAATGCATATTTCTAACTGACACATTAAAGCCGTTAAACTTTAAACTTCATAGATTTAAACATGACTTTGCATTAAAGTGCATTTATGTCTGACACTGTCCCATAATGCAGGATATCACCTTAATTTTTATGACAAAAACAAACAAAAAAAAAATGCTAGAAAGAGACAAAAAATAACCACAAAGAGTCAAAAAGATGCACAAAATGTACAAAATGACCACAAACAGAAAGAAATTACAGATTTAGTAATGCAAATTATAATAAACAAATACATTATGAGGGAATATTATAGATTAATATAATTATTTATCCGTAAAGGGAAATTCTCAAGCAGTCAATAAACTATAAAGTGGTTAAATCAAGTTTACCAGCTGCCACATAAAAGTGCTAATTAATAAATTGTTCTAAAATGAAGCATTTTGCATAATGAGTACTTTGCTTTTTGTTATTACATTTTGATGCAAATATTTTTGTACTTTTACTTAATTATAAAATGTAAAGCATGACTTTTACTTGTAACAGAGCACATCTGCAGGGCAATAAGACTCACCAAAGCTGTAGAGTTGATGTAGTACTGTTATTTATTATTTAGGTGCAACAGCCTCCACCTGGTCTTGACTTAATGTTCACATTAAACATCAAAATAGACATTTTAATTTTAATGCCTGACATGCTAGTTCGAGTATGTCTGATACTGCTGATTTTCTGCTGTTTTCACCTCAACGGTCTCTAGAGTTTAGTCAGGTTGGTTCAAAAACAAGAAAAAAAAACCACCTTTCGGGGGACTTGTTGGGGGGAAACTTTTTTATTTCTAAACAGAAAAGCAGTTCTGAATGCACAACACGTCCAAACTTGGGGTGGCTGCTGCTACAACAGCAGAAGTCCGTGTCAGGATCCACCGCTGTCAGCCGACGACTGAAGTCTGAGGCTGCAGTGGGCACAGACTCAGCAAAACTAGACAGTAGGAACTCAGCTGAAGCTCAGAATTTGGCATCGACAGCATGAATCCATGTAACCAACCCGCCTTGTGTCAACTGTTCGGGCTGCTGCTGGTATAATGATGGTTTCTTGGACACTTTGGGTCAATCATGGTTCAAATGCCAAAGTCTTCTGAGCATGTCCATCCCAGTTTACCAGCTTCTAACAGAAAACTTCTGTGGCCTCTGCAGTCATGAGATCTGAATCCAGTAGAACATATTTAGTTGTGGTAGAATCAAGCAATAACCTCCTGTGTTTAAAATTAAAGCTAATGTTGAAGTGCCAAAAACTGCAGTTCCTCGATTGGCCACTTGAGGCTGGCTACAAAATTGAGTCAATCCCCATAGACTCCCATGTTAAAATGACCAACTTTACAGCAGGAATAAACATGTTTACAGCCTGGTACAACAAACAGTTTAGGTCTCTATAGCTAATTTATCTGCTCATGACACCTGCACAGGGAGTGAATATTTATATAACTCACCCATTTAAATTGTATTAAGGCTTAAAGTTGTTCATAATTAAAGATGTTAGCACGGCCGACCTCAGCTCCACTTGCCTCTTTGCACATTTTCCAATTAGCTGAAAGTTAGTCACCATACTGAGACATCATGGAGGCTTTAGGTACCATTACATACAGTCTTTGGGTGGAACTGGAGACTCGCAGTGTGACATTTTATGTAACATGGAGCAGAAGAAGAACGTTTCCCACATCTTCAGAAAGAATTGGGGCTGTTTGAGGGCTAAACCCACTGATAAAGAGAATTACAGTTCAGCTTCTGCTTTCTCTTTCGCCACTAAAAACGCAGCAGTAAATTGACTTATTAGGAGCTAGGCAGGGTGCATAAGGAAACTGTCAACATCACACAGACAGAGCTCGGTGTTAATACAGCTACAAACAGAAGTTATGTCTAATTCTCTGTAGTGGAGTCACTTCAAAATTATATCATTTAAAAGTCTTTTTTTTTCCTAAAAAGGGCATCCAGCCTTTGAGTTGTTAGAGGCCTAACAGAACGCCGGGGTTAAACGCTGATTATTACTTCAAACACTGGCTGGCGTCGGGCATTCAGGAACGAAATGAAACGATGTGAATCGTGCTCGTCCCTGTAACATCTGCGCCTCTAACCCTTCATTATTCACACAGCATTGGTCTCTTATGTGGTTCACATTAGAGGTCGCGCCGTTGCGAGATTTGAACTCGTGTAAAACTTTTAATAGCTAACTGCTGTCAACCTCTGGGGCCGACCTTGACAGGCCGCGATTGAACTGGCGCCGGGTGGGCGTGAGGCGCTCCTCTGAAGGTTACACAACGCAGTGATGAGCGCGCGATTGTAATTGCCGTTTTTCTCCCCCCACCCTCCTGGTTGAAAAGGTTTGATTGAAGATGTAAAGACGTCATGTAGATATGAAAGTGACGCAAAAAAAAAAAAAGAGACCAACTGGACAGGTAATGAGTTGAAGTTTTATTATCTTCTCTTTCATGCTCCTGTACAAGGACGTTTAGCAAAAATCTGTCCTCATTAAAAAAGGCAGGAAATAAATTTTGAATCGTGCCGTGCTCTATTTCGCAACACGACCAGACTTCGTGTCATTTTTACATTAAAAAAACAGAAGCTCTAATGTCCTCTGAGCCTCGCATAAACACTGAATAAAACAGCAGCTCGCATTAAAAGGAGAACCGCACCTTCAAATACTATTACAGATACATACGATAAATTAGTGATTAATGGATTCAGTGTTGTTGCGTGAGGAAGAAGTCGAGTTTAATATGTGTGCAGTAAGTGCAGGATTGTACAAACACTGGAAAAATCTTCATTTTTTCCCATTTATGTTAAAAAAATACAAAAAGGCAGCAAAAAAGCCTCAAAATAATCTATACAGTGCTGACAGCTCTGATCTAGGCGACTAATAAATGCAGTTTTCTCTCTTTAACACATCTTGCGTGAGTTACAATAACATCATATTTAGTTGCAGCAACAGCTTTGAAACAAGCTTTAAAGTCTGCAGAAACACTGAGTCACGATTGTCACAGTGAAATAATTCAACTTTTCAGTCAGAAACACGACTTAGTCTGCTCATAAGTCTCCTTCATGATTCCTACTGTCAGTGTAGAAATGATATCAAGTCACACCGACTTCAGTCTTGCTCCTCTTTGACTTCCTGTCTCCACTTTTGTCCTTCATTACACCTTTAAAACCTTCATCTTGTGTAACACTAGGGATTTCTGGGGCGCCTCCGCCTCCTGTGATTAGTTTCTTTGTTTACTCCATCTGCAGGAGACCACCAATCTCTGTCCGCTCTCTCTCGGAGTGGGTAATTACTGTAATCACGGCCTGTCGTCAGGACTCCCCTTGCAGTAACAGATTCCGCCTGTGGATCTCATTGAGGACGACATCGCTGTTGGAGCCGTCAGATATTCCGCTGTCCGCAAATACAGAGCCTGAAAGGGGACGAACACGGTAAACATGTCACATGGAAGCTAAGTCTACATGTGTTGTATGAAAAGGCTTATCAGATATTGGGAAACGTACCGCTGCTATTGGTGGCATCGCTGATGACGGAGGAGCTCCTGGAGGTGGAGTTGAGAGCTGAGGTGGTTGCTGTGGCGACCGATAGATTCCTGTTGTTGGCGGTGGCGGTCCGACTCCATTCTGCAGAACACACGGTTGTATGTGAACTGAGCTTAATGTACGTCTATTAGTTTTTGCACTTTTCCAGCCTAATTAGTAGGTCGACGTGTTAACTGTCTTATTTCAAGATTTTGAACTTTTTCGCTTAAAAACCTCTAATTGATGTCAAATCTCTGCTCAGGATGCTTGTAAAGTCAAGCACCCACTTTGAGAGCTGTCCTGAAGTCTGTGATGCTTTCTAGAAGGCTTGAAATTGCAGTCACATAGCCAAGCTTGTCTTCTAGTTCAAGCCGCTCTAGGATCAACTCTCTGAGAATAGCAGCCAATGAGAGTGAAAGGAAAAAAAGCAGGATATAAATAGATTCATTTGACATGAGAAGGTTTGCACAGACTTGATCACAGTACATGAAGGTGAGGTCTGTTATGAGACCAAGGAGGCTGCAATTTCAGGCTCAGGGCATGATGGGAAACTGGTTTAGAAGTTTGATTGGTTTAGAAGTTGGTTCAAAAACATTTACAGACATTTACAATAGATTTGGATTTTACTAGTCAGATTTTGCACCATATAGTTATCGTTAGAGTGCAAAAACTGTGATATCTATCAATCATAGAGGCTCAATATGTTAATATCACAGGACAAAACACAGAATTCATTCAGTATATCATAGATCTAGTCCATACGAATGGTAAAATATTGGCTTCAAGTATGTAGCAAGAGAAAAAAATCTTATAAGTGCAGATGTGAATTCCTCACAAACTATTATATTGATAATACTTATTGTCTTGTATTCTTTCTACTATATTGACTATTTAGGACTTCTACAGGACAGTAGAGAGAGAGACAGGAAAGTGGGGAGAAGAATGGGGGCGGGACCTGCAGCAAATGTCCATGAGCTGGATTCGAACCCATGACCGCTGCATCGGGGACTATAGCCCCAGTACATGGGTCACCAGCTCAACCAGTTGAGCTATAGCGGCGGCTGGTTTTGTTTTTTTGTTTTTTTTAAAATTCAGTTTAAGACGGACATGTCCAATAATCAAGCCTGATCAGCTGATTTTTGCAAAGCTGCAAACATGCAGTTTTAAAATGCAGGTTGAATCATGAGCAGTTTATATTTTAAAGGAAATCGAGGCTGCAAACAAGCTGATATATGGGTTTCAAATACTCTGAATTGGATTGCACTGCACAGACTGAAGGCTGCTGGAAACTGACTTGACTGCAGCTTTTTGTCTCTTCCTGCTGCTGCCGCCTGCTATCGTCCACCTTGGTCACTTTATTGTGGGTTTTTTTTTTTTGTTATTTTCATCTCTACATTGAATTTTGTCATGTGAGTACCATAATGTCAACAAAATATACGTAGAAGGACGACCTTTGTGTAGTTATAGCCTGTAGTCTGAGCTCAGCATCATGAGAAAACATTTATAAGTTAGTTTTTCTCTCATAATTTCTCTCTTTGTGTCATTTCTGTTTGATAAACAGCAATTCTGTGTTTGCAGTGATTTGACAGATGCTGGTATGGATTCTGCAAATATTCGGTGTGATCTAAACCCTGTTAATTTGATCATTTATGTGTTTGATTTTTGTACAAGTTGGCACCATTAAAAGTTCACCGAATTAGTCAATAGCAGCTCGTTGTTGCAGTGTACCTATAAAACTACAGACAACTCTCACTGGATTCACTCAACAGGGAGGAAAACTTAAAAACATCACGATTCTTCGTTAAGTTCTCAAGTTAGGAGGAGCGTCTCTTTCCTTTGATTTCTGAGTGGATTTATGGATGTTTATTTGCAATGGACATCCGCAATGATGAAATCCTCAGAAAGTGTGAGACACACTGGAGCTATTTCAGATTTGACTAAGTTATGACTGCAAGAAGGAACATGAATTATAGCATAAACAGGGACAATCGAGCACTACGATGATTCAAATACCTACGTCTGACACCAAATCAGCTACAAGAACTAACCTCCAAACCAACTGTCACAGAGATAAGAGCACATCCAGGTAACACACCTGAGTTTTCAGCCAGTCGCAGACTTCCACAGCAAAGATAGGTTCTCCATTGCCTGCGGACGTTCTCCTTCACGGCACAGTGGAAAACAAAGACAAAGAAACCTGCACAGGACGAGTTAAACCGTTAGAAAGTCGCCTCTGGGATAAATTTTGTGTATTAAAATAAGGTTTGGGTAATAATATGGATAAAAAAGTATCTTTCAATTAAGCGGGCATCTCATTTTGGAGTTGAACCCAGTGTGTTGATCCACACCTTGCAGAGAGTTGAATATGGAGAAGAGGTAGACGAAGGGTAAGTAGAGGGGCCCCCAGGCGAACAGAGCGAAGCCCCAGGTGAGGCCGAGCAGGATGATGAGGCCGGAGATCCGGCGCACGTCGGTCACCCCGCCTCTGTTGGGAGACTGGTTCTGGGGGTTCTGCTTCTTGATGCGATGCAGCTGGACCATGACGACGATGAAGACCAGCGAACACAGCACGAACATCAGCAGGAAGTAGGCCACCACGCCCACGTAGAAGGCGATGTCGTTACGCAGCCAGCAGCTAGAGGGCGACACGTTAAGACAAAGAAGAAGCTAAAATGTCACCCCAAAAAAGTTAAAAAGATGGAAAACTGAGGATTTCCTTGATTGGACTGTTTTTTATATCCCCACTAGGATTGTTTCATGATATTTTCTTGCAGCTCAGGTTGGTGTTTCTGTTTATTTTCAGGTGGTTGCACAAGAGTACTGTTTGACACTATAGCAATGTGGTTTCTATGACACCTTTAGGTGGTTGCTAAGGGCGATGCAGGTGATGTCTGTGTTTCTGTTGACATTCAGAGAAACAGAGTTTTTTCCACAAGGGATATTCTGACTTTCAATTGTGGGAAAAACACAATAAATTTTGATGCAAGACCCACACAGCTACTTGGTGTCACAAGTCCAGATGTCTGTCAATGATCCTTTTTAATTTAACTCAGTTAGTGAGGAAAAAAAACTCTTTAGCACAAAGAAAAGAGACACAAATACTGATTTAGTTTGAACACTATAAGCAGAACACAGCAAAGTAGATTGTTTGTCATCCCCTAGTGGTCAAATACTGTAACATCAAGAATAATGCCAGGAGAAGTGTTCACAAATATTTCAGAAAAGAAAGAAAATCTATTATTTAAACTCTTTTTAGATTTGAAATTACATTCTTTTACATATTGGCAGCAGCTATCTTCAGAAGTCTTACTCACTTGTACCTCTGCTGTTACCCTTTTGAGTTTTAAATGTACTATAAATAGAATAAAAACGATGAACAGAGCTTGTTTTTTAAAAGATATGTTGAAACCTAACTTCTTTCACAAACATTGAGCTGGTTGGGAAGAAACTGTGTAGAATATTTGCACTACTTCGCCTCTCAATACTAAAAAATAATTGACATTTCTGCATAACTCACAAGTCGTCTGACGTGCCATCTGTGTATCGTCCATATGTAACCACACCATAGTTGTCTTTGTCCACTGATATCACAATAATCACCACAATCAGAGGAATACCTGCAACAAACAATGAGTAAAACATAAAAATGTGTAATTGGTGCAAACACATATCTAATATTTGGCGTTTGAAGGTTCCTACCCCAGCCCATCAGGGAGAACTTGAGCATGTAATTGCCCACGTAGGGCGTGAACACTCTGACGATGCTCAGGTACATGTGCAGGGCCTCGAGCCCGGCCCAGGTGAACGATGTCAGGAGGAAGTAGTGCAGGAAGAAGGCAGTGCTGATGCACAAGCCGATGGCAGGGTAAAGCGCCAGCCAGCCGTCCAGCAGGAAGACCAGGTTGAGGAAGAGGAGGGAGAAGCAGAGCTGGACCAGGATCTTGGATGGAATATCTCGGAGGAGTTTACTGCAAAGACAGTAGAGTTAATTGAGAAAACTATGTGAATAAGATTTTGGTGGTTTGGGATTAGAGATGGATTCTTACTCAAATGAAAGATATGTCAGCAAGGTGACGGAAAGAAAAATAGCCGAGATTCCACAGCCGATGTAGGTGATGAACGTAAGAATCTGAGCGTGCTGGCGGTCTATTATTCCCTCTCTGGACAAATCCTGTGTTGAGGATGAGCCACACAAAACACAAACAGTAAACACAAAGATCATTTCTGCTGCCATTGTTTTATTATCAGTGTTGCACAGACACTAACCAGCAGTATAGCAAAGGATGTAAGATGGTTGCAGCTGCAGGTTGTGTCTTCAGGTGTGGCATTGACAACAAAGCAGCCGGCAGAGCTCCAGCCTCCTCCGCCGCCTAAACAATGGAAACGCCACACACAAGAATATTTATGCCCGTTCCAAATTGGCTGCTAACGGACTCTGCTTGGCATGACTGTACTCACCATTCATAGTGAAGTCCCAGAATGCACAGGAGGCAACGTAGTTCCCCTACAAAACCGAGAGCAAAGACGAGGGAACAGCAATGCAGAGGAATGCTTAACAGCTTTACAGACAAAAGTGAAGCAAGACATGAAAATAATATAATTTTTGTGCAGACTCACATTCACCGGGTTGACGTTTCGGATGGTGAACTCAATGTTTTCCGTGAGGTTGCTAATGGACAGATTGGCCACACTGGAGCCCAGGATCGGACTGACAAGGGTTTGGTTGTCTAATGATTCGTCCTGCAAAAATAAGGAAATGTGAAGGTTTAGTTTAAACGAGGGTGATGTTGGCTTTACATCTCATTCAACTGTACTGCATAATCTTTTGTCACAACTGCTGAAGTTAAGTTTTGGCATCAGTTGAGTTAAAAAATATGAAATGAAGAAGTAAAAACATGATAAGTCCTAAAGTGTGGCTGCAACAAAGTACCTGGAAGAATGAACTTCTGGTGTAGAAAGTGAACTGGACCCTGCTGGCCTGCTGCTGCTGCTCAGGACTCAGACCGGATGTGAGGGACGACGGCAGAAACACAGACCCCAGAGGAGACGCTGACCTCTTGAACCGGGAACTCCTGAGGGCGCTGAGCTAGAAGCACATTAGAAAATGAGAAAGAAAATCAGTAAATGGCAACAGGATCTTCCAGTTTGTCTCTTTGAGGTCAGTTCATGCATGTTTCTGTTGCAGCATTTGGATTTGAAGACTTTGCGCCTCGGGCGAGCCTCTCTATTATTTATCCGTTTGCTTGTACAAGCGTCCCAAGTCAGATCCACCAAAGTCTCTTAACTGCACAATCTTGCCTGACAATAAAAACTCCCAGTGTTCATTTGTTCTGCTCCATTTGAGAGGAAAGCAACATTGCCAGAAAAAGCAAAAAAAGAACAATTTCACTCCAAGGGGCATCAAATCAACAAGTTTAATGGTGTCACTTGTGGTGTTAAAGGACTAAAAAGCTCTAAAACACACTCAAGGAAGGCAACCCAACCCCCCAAAAAGCACAATATGGGCTCCTTAACTCAGAGAAAATCAGTGAATGCCACAAACTTTCCGATATCCCTCACACAGGGTACATAAAAACAAACCTGTTCATGCAAGTGATTCTCATATGATGCACACTGTGTGTCATTGAATGCATGATGTGAGCTACCTGGACGTTATTGGTGTTGAAAATGTCCGCAGAAGTTGCTGGAAAGTTGGTCCCATCCACTGTCCTGATGGCCAGAACCAGTGAATCTGTGGAGAGGGTCTCTGAGTCACCGGTGACAACCAGCTTAAGACCCAGATTATCCACCGCTTGAATCAACCTGTCGCCAAGAAAAGACAACAGAAACATTGTAGAAAAACCTCATTTGTATGTGCACGTGAGCGTTTTGTGTGGGAGGCGTGTGATTTGAACCTGTTAGAAGATGAAGAGAGCGCCGCTGAATCTCCGTCCAGCAGGTTGTTGATGGCGCTCAGGGCCTTTTGTCCCACTGACCTAGAGACAGACGGGCTGTCCAGAAGCTTCTCCAAATTGTCCACCAACTGTGCCACCTGTAACATCCATCAAATTACAGTATTTATCTCCAAAATAACAAAATTAGACACAAGAACCACAGGGGTTAATGCACTTTAAAAAAAACAAAAAACAGCAACCAGTATTTTACTGGTGAAGTTGTTCAAGACAATTTTGTTTGTGTCAGGTCAGAGTTCGTCACTAGTCAAACATCTTTTTATCGTTTATGTGCAGAGTAGTGTGAAAAACGTTGATAGGTAAATATCTACAGTATGTAGAGCTACAATTTTGTAACCTGTGGGCACTATCTTGATTCCACTTTTTCCTTTTTGTCAAATAAATAATCGAAGAAATTAAATCTTGAGATTTATCAGTTTTTTATGATAATGTTTGTCTTTGTAGCCGTGTTACACAGCACAAAAGACATTTCTGAGTTCTCCCGGCTTCTAGTCATGGTTATGCAATTTCCATAAATGTTCACACCTTTACATTGCAGTGAAAAATGAGCCCCACAGTAATTAAAACTGTGACAAGGGTGAAAAAAATGCCTCGAAAGTGCTTTGGGTTCAGAGCCTTTGCATACTGTTGATTTCTAAATGTCTGAATAAAGAGCTCCATTAAACAAGACTTCTCTTCCAAAAGCGTTTTTAATATGTTCACATTAAGTCTACTAGTTAAGCAGACTGATGTACAGTTAGGTAGATTAGTGCCTTCACCTGAGAGGAGTTGAGCTGAGATGCGTCCTGTGTTTGATCCAGCAGCTCGTTTGCATCTTCCTCCTGTTGTTCTTCTCCTGTCGTTGTCCCTGAGTTGGTTGTAGAAGTAGTCTCCGCACCTTGACAAAAAAAAATAAAAAATCAAGCAATATATCTAAGTGTTGTTCTGTTTTGGTCTGCTAAACATCCCTGTGACTGACTTTAAAATTTACATACCAGTCATAGTTGTGGCTGTGGTTGCGTTGGCGAGAGCAGTGGTAGGGAGAGAAGTAGTGCCGTTTATCTCGGTTTGAACAGTCGTAGCTGGTGTGGTGGTCGCAGCTGTATTTGTAGTGTCAACAAGGGATGCATTCGCTGTTGTTGTTAAATTGCTCCCTGGTTCTTGGGTTGTTTGGATGGTGGTGGCAGCTGTGGTGGAGTTGGTCTCATTTCTGTCGGCTGTTGTGGCATCACTCACACTGACAGTGGTGTGATTTGTAGTCTGGTTGTTCAGTGAAGCTGCTGTTGTTTCATTGAATTGTGTAGTGGCTGGCACTGTAGTGTTGTTATTAGGAGCTGCTGTTGTGTGATTGTTGCTCAGTGTAGTTGCATT